TTCCTCGTGGCCTTTGTTGCCTACTTCTCCGCTCTCTGGAGAGGTGCCCAGCACCGCATGACCGGCTACCCCATCTACGACTTCTTCCTTGGCGCCGAGCTGAACCCCCGCATGTTTGGCATCTTGGACTTCAAGATGTTCTTCGAGGTTCGCATTCCCTGGTTCATCCTCTTCGGTCTCAGCTGCGGTGCTGCCGCCCGCCAGTACGAAAAGTACGGCTACGTCTCTGGCGAAGTGCTCTTCCTGGTTATGGCCCACTACCTCTACGCCAACGCCTGCGCCAAGGGTGAGCAGCTCATCGTTCCGACCTGGGACATGTACTACGAGAAGTGGGGCTTCATGCTCATCTTCTGGAACCTTGCTGGTGTCCCTCTCTCGTACTGCCACTGCACCATTTTCCTGGCCAGCCACCACCCTTCCGAGTACAAGTGGAACCCCATCGCGCTCGGCTTCCTCTTCGTCTCATACCTCTTCGTCTACTGGATCTGGGACACCACCAACAGTCAGAAGAACGGTTTCCGCGCCCAGGAGCGCGGCCAGCTCGTCGCCCGCAAGACCTTCCCCCAGCTCCCGTGGCAGACGGTCAAGAACCCCAAGACTATTACCTCGGACAAGGGCGATGTCATCCTCGCTGACGGCTGGTACGGCTACGCCCGTAAGATCCACTACACGTGCGATGCTTTCTTCGCCATCTGCTGGGGTCTGATCACGGGCTTCAAGAGCCCCTTCCCCTGGTTCTACCCCGTCTTCTTCTGTGGCATGATTGCCCACCGTGCTGCCCGCGATATCCACCGCTGCCGCCAAAAGTACGGTGATGCCTGGACCCAGTACGAGCGCGAGGTTCCCTACCTCTTCATCCCCGTAAGTTCCGATGCTTCTGCTGTGACGAAAGGAATCAATGGCTAACTCCTCTTCAGTACGTCATCTAAGTGACGACTCCACCAAACACTCCCAAAAACTAGGCGTCTTATGCCACGGCCATCGGGCCATTTCTGTCTGTACATAATTCGCTTCTTCACCTGGAGCCGGTCGCCAAGTGGTTTTAAGACCGGTGGCCATCGGCAAGGGGTAATGGTACACGAATGGTGAAAAAGAAAAGTTGCCGGCATCATGTGCGAGAAGACATGGTTGGCATAAAGACTTGTAATTATATAGCAGAAGTGGTGCCTTGTTCTTTGGCATCACCGCGGCTTTCTTTGTCACGTGTGGGCAGCGTTTTGTTAGGCACGCTGTCCTCTGAAATCGAGTAAAATGAGTAAAATGAAACATGTTGAAAGATCACACCTCTGGCAAAGTGACCCAGTTGCTTGTGAGGCTCCTTATGCAAAAAGTACCTTGATACATCCCGGTCACGATAGAAAAGCAAAACTTTGCTAGAGTTTACAGTTTCTGGGTTGTTGCTGTGGACAAGCAGGATGGAGTACTCTACCAAGGTTTTCAGGACCACGAGGTTGCTCACACACTGTTGAAAGGGCTGGAGCCTAGCACTATTCACTTTGGTTGACGTAAGGTACAGACCAAGGCAAGCCCAAGGTCTCAAGCATTCCCGCCCGTAAGTAGCTTCACAGTCCATTACTCAGCCTGAATGGTGCTTCCCCACAAGAGCATGTCACTGTTTGTATCCGTCTCGATACCCTGTTAGGCTTTGGCAAGACATTACAGTAGGAACTAGTCTGGGTCAAGCACCGAGAAGGTGGTTCTTGAAGAATACGAATGCAATTTGGTCTGTTCCTGATCTTTGGGCTGTTGGCCAGAAATCTGACTTGAAATCTCCAATCCGCTCAGCATCAGGCTGTACGAGTAGTAAAGATAAGCGCCAGGGCAGCGTACACTGAGTACGGAATCACCCAACATCACACTGTGGAAGCATAGGGGGTGGATCTTTAACAAAATAGTAGACGCATAAAAAACACATTGTCGCAACCTAGACTACAATTCCGTTCTCCCATCACCGATGTCTATGCTGAGCAATCGCCCACCTGAATGGATAGCATACCTTGATGGCAAAATAGTACATATACGTTTGATCCATGATCGAAGCAGTCCCCGATCGTCCCAAACATGGCATTTCGTGACCCTTGACCGTTCCCACGCCTATGCCTTTAAACCTTTGATTCGAGTTTTCGACGCGCCTGCTGATGATATTTGTCCGCCCTGTGGCAGTGATGCCCGTGCAAGTTGTGGCTTAAGTACATCTTGTCAACCGTTCAACCGAGCATTCGTCGTATTGGTGTTGTCGCTTAGCAGGTGACGTCCTGAGTGGCCTTGGAGTTCATAAGAAGGGCGACAATCAAACCGTAAAGACCTAGAGACAGTCATGTCAGTAAAGAGCGCGTTTACAAGCGGGGTTGATGTGGCGTACCCAAGACTTCGGCGAAAATGAGAATAAGAATCATGCCGACGAAGAGACGGGGCTGTTGAGCAGTTCCACGGACACCAGCATCACCGACGATACCAATGGCGAAACCAGCAGCAAGACCAGCAAGACCGACAGAGAGACCAGCACCGAACTGGATGAAACCAGTGTAGAGGGCCATCTGCTGCTGAAGGCCGTCGGAGATAAGCACGGAAACGACGAGACCGTAAATAGCAATGATACCAGCCATAATGACGGGAACAATGTCTATATGATGATTAGCAAATGTCGATGCAGCTAGACCATGCGTGCATGGCCGTCGATTGTGGATGCTGGTTCGTACTCTTGACGATCAGGTCAGGGCGGAGGACACCCATAGCCGAGATACCGACACCGGACTTTGCGGTACCGTAGGAGGCACCCAGGCAGGTGAAGACAATGGCGACGGTGCAACCCATGGCTCCGAAGAAGGGCTAGAGCGAGTTAGCGATGTCGTAGACGCGATATCGAACGATGCCCAAATGGCTCATCCCAGGTAGGAAGGGGGCGACGTCATGGATCGATGACTCGGTAGGCACAGGGAGGACGAACCGCATAGACGGGGCTGTGACATTATCGCGTTAGCAGATGAGCTTCAGAAACGTAGTGGAAAGCTGTTCGCGCAAGTTGGGCATCGAGAATGATGGAGTTGGGAGCTTCGATTGATGGATAGGAGCTCGTCAACGGGGGCAAACAAGCATGTTGTTGACGTACCAAAGCTCGGAAGGCATTTTGGCGGTTTCTGTGGATTTTGACTGGCTAAAAAAGTCGAAGAAGACGTCGAGACGAGTCGAAGATGAAGGAAATGCGGCGGCAGCTGGGCTGGGGACGATTGCGGTGATGATTGTTGGGGCGGGCGATGTTCGATGCTGCGTCGGCGACTACTCGAGATGAGGTGTGCTTGTTAAGATCTCGTTTCCAGGTTGGCCTTCTGGTTGGTTGCAAGGTTTTGCGGCGCGCTCACAGCTCCGTGCCCTTACGTAATACAAGGAGGAGGCGGTGCCCGGAGACCGGCTAAATGTGGTCTCCGAGGTGGCTGGCTTGGAGCTGCAGGAGCCAGGCCCCACTTTCCAACGGAATCTACCGTCGAAATTTGGGGAAGTGGGATATTTTTTTTTTCATCGGCTTGAGTTTGAACTTTTTGGATCTTCACGTTCACCACCGTACTTCTACCGATCTTTTATCTCACCATCAGGGCGAGCCAACGCAAGGAACCCTGCACCATAACATCGGTAAGTTTTTGATACCTCCCAACTGCCAATTGCAAATAGCTGATTGTCTCCTGCAGACATCACTCGACACCTTACATCCTCAACAATGTCTGAATCCGCTGCCTGGCCCCTTGCCGACGATGCTCTTCAGCAAGAGCTCCTGGACATGGTCCAGCAGTGCCAGCACTACCGCCAGCTGAAGAAGGGCGCCAACGAGGCTACCAAGACCCTCAACCGTGGTGTCTCTGAGCTCATCATTCTCGGTATAGCCACCCCGTCGACCGTCGTTGACGAAACAATGCTAACTTTGCCGACCAGCTGCGGACACCAACCCTCTCTCGATCGTTCTCCACCTTCCCCTCCTTTCTGAGGACAAGAACGTCCCCTACGTTTACGTCAAGTCCAAGACCGCTCTTGGCCGTGCCTGCGGTGTCTCCCGCGCCGTTATTGCTTGCAGCATCACCTCCAACGAAGGCTCTGAGCTCGCCGGCCCCATCCGCGCCCTCAAGGACAAGATCGAGAGACTCGCCATCTAAGATACCCCCGACGTAGGATAATGGGCAGTGTATTATGATACATCTTGGGAAATGCTGAAAAATGGTTTGGAATGGGAAAGTCTGAATTGTTGATAGGCGTCGACTAGCTATTCTCGGGTCCTATTCTCTCCGTGGTATCTGCTACAGTGACGGAACGCAAGGTAACTGGCTGCGAAAACAGCTATGTGAATGCGCCTGTCTGTAAGTGGACTCCTGCAAGTTGGTGTGGTCCAGAAAACTGTCAATTGATGATTGTCGAAAACTCAAACTCCCAAATATGCAATGGCCACAATTTGTGCATTTAGCGGTGCTTGACTCGGGACGAGCCAGTGGGGGAACCTGCCACCTACAATGGAATAACAACTCTACCTGAAGAGCAAGTAAGGCGGTTTCATACTTTGACTACCCACGCTACCTTGCTTGCTTGCCTTATCTTCGACGATTGGATTGTCGGTGAAGACGCGAAAACGAATGCAGACCTGGCGTCTAATGAGCAGACTGAACCACTCATCGGGCCGGTGTCTTAGGCGTGACCTGCGCTTGCTGTCTCAGCGACTCGCACCTGGCCCAGCAAATGCACACTGACGTTACCCCGCGGCCCACCACCCATGTCATAGCTACATGCACGATTTTTGGCCCGCCATCATCAGCAGTTCGTGTCGCGCACAACGCCCCATTCTTCTCTGCATCCTCTTTCCACGCCGCCAATGTTGTTATTGCGGCCCAGCATAACTAATAATTCTTTCGTGCATTCTTGGGTGAATCTTTTGGCCTGTCTCTTCTCCTCATAGAATCTCCATTTCTTCTCGCGCATTACGTTAATTCCGAATCGCATTCCGGACCGCGCTGAATCGCAAGATGCCCGGTATCGCTCGCAAGATCATCATCTGCGCCGCGGTCGACGGCCTTATCATACAACCATTTGTGACCAAAGGACAGCGCCCTGCGCAGCCGGTCAGGATCAAATATGGCGACGCATCAATAAGTTCTGCTCCGCGAGAGCAAATTCCCGACCTTTCTCAGCCAAATTCTTCCTTCGAGGCCTTCGGCGTTATAGGTGCGGCACCCGAGCTTCTAGCTGCACTCCATAATTGTTGTAGCTTTGATGTTAATTCTCGGGAAATGCAGGTTTGATCACAGTTTCCCGTCTCAGCTATCTTATCACGATCACTCGGCGCCAGCAAGTGGCGCAAATCTGCGGTTTTCCGATCTATGTCGTCACCGAAGTCGCCATTACCCCATGCGCATCGCAACAAGAAGCTGGAGAAGCTATCGCCAAGACAGCCCTAGAGCTTCAAGATCGCACCACAGACAAGGACGCCAACGATAGCGACAGCGATGACTATGTCGAGCTTCCGGCAAGCGGGGATGAAGTCGAAGACCCTGCGCAAGAAGCTAAAGCCGACAGCGACAAGGATCTCGAGACTGTAAAGAGTACTGTAGCGAAAGATGTTATCGGCAGGAGAGGAAGCTACGGGAGGTTCGCGCAGACCTGGTTCAGCAAGAGCGGATGGACGCAGGATCAGAAGAGATCAGCAGGCTGGAGCGGAGCCGCGCACCAAGTACGACGGTCCGTTGACCACAGTCCAGTCAAGAATGCTCCTCCGCGGCCATCTGTTGACGAGGTTAACGAACCAACAACGGCATCCACACTTCTGCCGAAGCTTCTGCGGATGACCCAGATCTTTTACGGCTCATCTAGAAGCTTCTTCTTTTCTTACGACTTCGATATCACGCGGCGTTGGTCGAGTCGTTCCCATGCTCAATCCGATGAGATACCTCTTCATGAGCGCGTGGACCCGATGTTCTTCTGGAACAAGAACACATTAAAGCCATTTACGGAGGCTGGAGAGGATGCTTTGTTGCTTCCGCTCATGCAGGGCTTCGTTTCTCAGAAGAGCTTCGTAGTAGATAGCAGCCCTCCTCAACACGACGAAGGTCTCGGGGATTCCGTGGAGCTATCGACCATGAGACAGCCCGAAGCTGAACCATCTTCACCCTCACCGGAAGCAGTCCGTGACTCGATCGATCTGCGCTCTACCGAAAAGAAGTTTTTGTTGACAATAATCTCGCGGCGTTCGACACAGAGGGCTGGTCTCAGATACTTGAGACGAGGCATCGATGAGCAGGGTTATGTTGCCAATGCGGTTGAAACTGAGCAGATTCTTTCGAGCACTTCCTGGGACAAGCCTTCAAAGATTTACTCCTTTCTTCAAATCCGGGGCAGCATTCCGCTATTCTTCACACAGTCGCCGGTCTCTCTCAAACCTGCGCCAGTCATTCAGCACTCGCCCGAAGCCAACTATACTGCAACGAAAAAGCACCTAGAGCGGCTGAAGTCAGAATATGGGCTTTTGCAGATTGTCAATCTCGTTGAGAAACATGGCGTAGAAGCAACTGTCGGCAATCAGTATGAAAAGACAGTGCAGCGGTTGAACGAGGAAGAAGCGAAAGACCAAGATGACACCGTCGGCTTTGAATGGTTTGATTTCCATTCAGCTTGCAAGGGAATGAAATTTGAGAACGTCAGCCAGCTCCTCGATACTCTCCGCGACAAATTGGAAGGTTTCGGAAGCACCGTGGAAGAGGCTGGTCAAATCACTGCAATACAACATGGCGTCTTGCGCACAAACTGTATGGACTGCCTCGACAGGACAAACGTGTGCCAGAGCTCGTTTGGAAAATTCATGCTCGAGTCTCAGTTGAAAGCTGAAGGCTATGATCTTGCCGCTCAAGTCGACCAGCAAACGCAGTGGTTCAACACGCTCTGGGCAGACAATGGTGATGCTGTGTCGAAGCAGTATGCATCTACTGCGGCCATGAAGGGTGACTACACAAGAACGAAGAAGAGGAACCTTGGCGGCACATTGAATGATCTTGGCCTTTCTTTGACCCGGTACTACAATGGGTAAGATGTTTTGGTCTTAAAACTTTTTTTCTATCATGTACTCTTGCTAACACCAAACCTAGAATGGTCAACGACTACTTCAGTCAAGCTGCCATCGATTTCCTTCTGGGCAACGTGAACTCCATGGTCTTCCAAGAGTTCGAAGCTGAGATGATGACAAAAGACCCTGCTGTCTCGATGCTGAAAATGAGGGAGCAGGCTATCGAGCTTTCTCAAAGGCGCGTCATTTCTGACGAAAACGAAGAGTTCATGGGTGGTTGGGTCCTCTTCAGCCCGCATCAGTCCGACTCCTTGCGGGCCATGCCCTTTGAGGAGGTGGTACTACTTCTAACGGATGCTGCGTTATATCTCTGCCGATTTGACTGGAACATGGACAAGGTCTCTTCGTTTGAGCGGATTGATCTAGCCCACGTTGTCGGTATCAAGTTTGGGACATACATCATCTCGACAGTCTCTCCCGGGCAGACGGACGAGATGAAGAATGTTGGCTTCGTTGTGTCGTACCAACCAGGCAAGAACGACGTTACGAGGACGAATACCAGGACCTTTTCGAACCTGGGCATTGCAAAGACCAAGACGGATGCGGCCCCTTCGGAGCAACAGCAGCAGAAGCAACAACAGCAACAGCCTCAGTCTGCCTTGAGCAGCTTGCTGGGTGGTGGGCGCCCCAAGGCGCCGCCAGTGCGCAAGCTCGCTTTCAAGGCCCCGTACTCTCAGTCATCCGCCGCTGTGACGGGCGAAGAACCCAAGCTCAGCGAGATCCAGCAGGTTGTCAGCATTTGCGCAGACATTGAGCGGCTGGCGTTCCTGAGTCAACCTGGCAAGGAGAAGCCGGGCACCGAGAGCATAATCGAGAAGGGCGAAATCATTTCGCTGGAGGAGGCGAGGCAAAGCACTGGGCTGCTGGACCACATCAGCTACTCTCTGAAGAGGCTCGTCTGGGCATGAAGTGGCTTTTTCTGGCACACACACGCGCGCACATACACCATTGTTGCTTTTCTGGCGTTGCTTGTTCTTTGCTTTAGGGTTTCGTTGCGCGATACAGGTGCATTTGGTAGCGCATATTTTCCAGAGGGATTGGGTAGTTTAGAGACTCGGCGAGGCGGAACCAGACGGAGTCATTGGACTCGACCTTTTCCCACCGACAGCCCGGAAACACGCCGTCCTTTTGGGGCTTGTTGACGAGAGTGTGGTCCATGAGCCACTGCATGGGGTACTTTTTCGACTCCTTGCCGACGGCTGCCTCGGAGTAGCTCCCAGGGCTGTCGACGACGAGGAGCAGGGAGCCGAGGGGCACGGTGGCGGTCAGGTTTAGGAGGAAAGCGGTGGTCTTGCCGATTCCCGCGGCAGTGTAGAGCTCGTTGAGGGTAAATAGTAATGTGATGAGTAATGCCTCTTTGCCTATTGTTTGAGAGAGCTGGTCCCGTGACATCGCGAGGGCGTCGAGGTGCGAGAAGGAGGAGGAGAGCCGCGCCGCGGGGTCCACGAGGGCTGCGGCGGTGGCTTGGGCCTCGTTTGCGTACCGCGAGGCCGGGGGCGGGACCGTGAGTGCGGCGTGGAGCTTGGAGACTACGGGGGCCCATGGGGCGGCGTCGAGGCAGGTGATTGTGCCTTTTAGGTAGGCTGGCTGCTGGGAGAGGTAGGCTGCTAGGGCAGCTAGTTCTGCGGCGCCGCCGCCGATGGAGAGGATCTTGATTTCCTTTTTGATTTGTGTCGTCGTCTTGGGGGTGACTGTGGTGTTGGCCTCGGTTGGTTCCGAGGCGGGTGGTGGAGGGGTGACGGCATCGTCCTCCGCTGCGGGAGGAACTTCCTGATCGTCGGTGGAGGGGGGGGAGGAGGAGTTCTGATCCCGGGGCGCATCACCCGTCTTGTCCTCGACGATCAACTTTTGAAGGCCCTCGGCTGCTTCAGCTACCTCAGCTCCAGCCTCATCTTCAGCCTTCTTGACCTGAACCTCCAGCCCCTCAAGGTGCTCCGCGATACCCAGCAGGACGACAGCGTACGCCAGAGCGCGGGTGGGACTCCACCTCGCAGCATACGCATCCAAGCTCTCGGGTTTCGCAGAAGTGAAGGCGGCGTCAAAGTCGCGGGCGTAGAGCGCGGCCTTGACTTCTTGCAGGATCGTGGCGAAGGCGGGCGAGGCGAGGACGGGTTGGAAGGCGGAGGCGAAGGAGGAGAGGAGGCGTTGCTGGTGGACGAGGGGGAGGGCGTCGACTGCGTTTGTGTTGTCTGCAGAAGACGACGATGCCTGCCCTTGAGGTTCCGGTTGAGCTTTGGGCTTGGCTTTTTGTTGCTTTGCTGGCTTGCCCGTGGTCTTTTTGGAGTTTGCGGCGTTGTGGGATGTGTCGCGGATGTTGTGCTCGACCTTCATTTTTTTACCCATGGTTGCAGAGGAAGTGAAAGTCTTGTCGACTTTCTTGAAATGGCGTATACGTTTGTGAGGCTATGGAAGTTGTGAAGTCGAGATTTTTGTAATGGAGGGGTAAAAATGGAGGGGTAGTTGTGATGAAGAAAAAATTGAGTTGAGGGCGAACTTTGGGATACTGGCTTCCGCGTGACAGTTACAGCTCACTGTGTTCTCTTCCACTATTCAGAAGCACAAGATCAGATTGTCACGATACAGATGTTTAGTCTCACGTTGATCTGATATCTCCAAATCATTCACTTGCGGTTGTTGAAGTTGGGTGAGGCGAAAACTCAATCGGGCAGGATCCACACCGCCCGCTTTTGAGGTTAGTGCACACTGAGCGACCTCATATGAGCCGTTCACTTGGATGTGAAGCTCATGATGAGATCTCACAACACCCGTGAGACATTGCTTATGTAGTTGCTCCATGAAAACAAAACCTATTACGAGGAAGAAACCTCGTTAACGCTGAGTAAAGATCAGCCTCACTATCTCAGATGCACCGCCAAGAGCAAGCTCGAACTCATTGCGCCGCCCGAACCCATACGTCTGCCAAAGCTTGGTCAGCGAAAGGAACACAAGGCCCGATTAGCCACGGCCAGTGTCCGAAGTTGCACCGTTGAGGCTAAACTCGTTTCACTCAAAATAAGGCAAAGCATGGCTCTCGAAATCTCGATAATTTCGAACCCGAAACCACAGAATTTTCCGCATCTTCTCCCGCTCAATCTCGACCAACAACGGCGTGGACGGATACACGCTGCGTGAAGCGGCGGATATGCGGGTGGAGAGGCTTGATGTCATCCGCAGGGAAGAAGGGAGCTTGGGCCTGCGGCCGCCTTGATTTGCGCGGATAAATGCGAAACTGGCCGGATCCCAGACGGATGGCCCGTGCACACCGGCTCCGGAGGGGTGGCACATCGCCTAGAAGAGTGTGAGTAGGTCTACCGTCTCGTACGGCGCAGAGAAAAGCATTGAGGCGCCGAACAAAGTAGATCGTGGTGTTGAGTGTCTGCGGCATACATTCAACCGGCACCGAGTACCGCGTTCTGAGACATACCAAGGGGTCGAGAAAGCGTGAAAACTCGGTCGAGTTATCGACGTTTGGTCGCATATCCACATCAGACAACCCAGCCCACCTGGGCATATTTTATTGAGTGCGTCTTGACGTACTCTGCGGTATTCTACCGCGCTGACCGTAGAACGCCCGCGCTGGCCTGTCCCAACCTTGACATTATCAACGGATGTTGCGCATCTCGATGCAAGACGGCGCCCGCCCGTAGAGGGGCCGGAGGGGCTGCATTCGGATGCTGCTGCGTCTACAGGCAGAAGAAGGCTGCAGCCTGCGAGTCGGCCCTGCGACCGAACGGTGAAATAGAAAAAAAATTGATAGGGGACACGAAGAGTGTCATCATGCATTCAGGGTCCACTGACATGACTGGATCTGATGCTCAGCAAAAGAAGGGAAGCCAGGCGATGCCAGGGTGGTCCAGGTGGTATCGGAGGGCCAGAGCTTATCCGCGTCGCCGGCTTGAAACAACGCGAGCGAGAGAACTGGAGGCGACGGAGGCGTAGTAGGGATATTTTCGGCGCTTGGCTCTCTCTGGGCCATTTGCTTGGACGAGGCTTTAAAGTCCGGCACGCGCTGGGCCTATGGCCGACGGCGAAGCAGCATCGTGAGTGAATAAAATAGCGCGAGGCTACTGGCCGGAAAGACTGGAGAAGCGATAGGGTGGGCCGGAGATACCCAAAAGATGCAGCCATCTCCACGGATTAGTCAAGATCCTCCAAGGCGAGCCGATGTTGCCAGGTCGTGGCAGATACCGAAAGGGACCCAGGTGAATCGTTGTGCTATGTGGGCATTATGACGACAGACTGTCTCCATGATCCATAGATATTGTTGTTCGCACGAGTCAATACAGGCAACGAGCGAGCTTCTGGAAGGAATCGAGAGTCAATTCATGGGGGTGAGATACGTCACAGCCAAAAAAAAAAAAAAAAATTAAAAAATTGTGATACAGTTGATATGGCTTTTGGGTGCTGAGTGAGGGTGTTCCCATGGCGGTGGACTTGCTGCTGGTGCAGTGTGCAGATGTGGTTGAACCTGGTGCGCCGAGTGCGGTATGATTCGTCGAGATGGGATAGCCCGGACACCGAGGTCGGGACGCGGCAGAGAGGGAATCGCAAGTCGAAGGTCGGACATTTTTGCCTCACAGGGGTTGCCGGGTGAATTGGAATACCTAGGTAGTAGTACATGGAAGCACGTCGACCACGGACGGGTAATAATGAGAGTGAAGAGTGCGGTCTACGATTGAGCCGACAAAGCCCACCAATACAAGGGCGAGAAAGATGAGTGGCTAGACGATAGGAGGGGCAAAATAAAAGCCAGAAGAGGCCAAGGAGAGGTGGCAGCAGATGGGACAAGTCGACACCAGTCAGTCAGCCCACAGCTTTTTTTTGCCGGACGACGAGGTTGTTGAGACTTGAGACGAGCTGAAGGCGCTGTGTACCGTTCCCAAGGCCGAAAACTGGAGATGCGACAAAAATGGAAGAGATGCGGGACACGTTGGAAAAACCCCCACTCCATGTGATTGTGAAGATGGATGATGGATGATGATGATGGATGGTGATGGACGAGGGGGGAAGACACCGAAAAGTGACATGAGTGACTTTTACTTAACCAACCTAAGGCATGTAGCGAGTGAAGTATCTCTTGCCGTTCCATGTTCGAGGTATCGTGGCAGCTGAGGGCTGAGGTAAGGTAGGTACTGAGATGAGGTTGAGTCCGGGCATCCCGCCAAAAAAAAAAAAAAAAAAAAAGCTCTCAGTAAGGCCAAGCTACCTTGGCTGAGGTACCTTACCTTAGGTACTGTACAGACAGAGCTCCAAGCGAGCCAATGTACCTCTTCCGCGCCGGCAAGGGGAGTGGCTACCTACAGGTACCAAAAGTAAGTAGTGCTTCCTTACCTCAGCTATTTGGAAATGCGAGGTATCTCCAAGTATCGTAGCCTTTCTGGAATTCCAAGGTATCCAAGAAAATGGAAGTGCAAGATGGACATATCACATCAGAGCAACCCAATTCACCTCTGTGCCTGGAGTGGGCAGCAACGAATCCCCCGGCAACAAGCATCCCACCGTGTGGTGACCTCCTCTTCCCAGTGGCTTGTCTCGTCTGGTGTCGTGTTGTTCCCTTCTTGAGAGAATCCGGCCGCGGCGTCAGTGGTCTGTGCCTGGTCCCCCTTCTGCCCCTCCACCCCTCCACCCCTCCATGTGCCCCCCCCCTCTGTCCTTGTCCACGCCCACGTCAGGTCCCCACCGGATGCTCAATAATTACCTTCCTGGCCGACATACGCAGTGACGGGACTGCTGAGGTACGCTCTGAGGCAAAAGGTTGCTGCTGTTTTGTGTCGGAATACCTGAGGTACATTACCGCCTCCTCTCCCACTCCTTCTCGTTCCTCTACTTTTGTTCCATCCTCCTCCTCCTCCGACGTCTCCTTTAAATTTCCTCCCTCCTTCACACCACATTCTCTTCTTCCCCTGAC